AAGTCTGTCTAAGTCTATAACCAATAGAGGTAATAAGTAGTTATGATATTTAACTTGAGCATTTCTGCTGCTAATCTCTGGTGTAGAGTTGCTGAATTACGTCCTGATGTCCAAAAAAATTTACAGGTGGGGGTCATGGCCACCCCTCGCCCCTCCCCTGCTCACTGTCACACTTCATGGTCCATTGTTGTGGTCCAAGTGCAATTGAAATCATTTGTCTCCGGAGATAAAACCTCAGGATAGACATGGATTAGTAAAAAATTTTTTAAAAACAGAATATTTGACGTGATGCTATCGTTCCTCTCAGATAATTAAGAGAGAGGAGCTGAAATCCACATCCTGTTCTCCCAGCGGGACAGGAACCAGAGAAGCAGTCATGCTCAGCACTGGTGTAGCAACTCTGTACCCAGACCTTCAGATGATGTTCTGATTTGGCTGCTGTATCAGATTAATTAATCTGGGTTCAACAGATGGACTCAGTTGAGAAACAACTCTGGATTCCCTGCTGCTTTCATTTCCATGATATTCAGTTATTGCTGCTTTATTCATCACTCTGATGTTTGATTGTTGTACTGTGGCAAAACTTGAGTCTAAATTGATCAGCAGCACACGGTAGAGGTTCCGTCATGGTTCTGGGTTTAATCATTTTGAAAATGAAAGCTAATTGGGTACCATCAGATTCTGACCCATCACGTTACACCAGCAGGATACTTTAAAGAAACTTTGATCCCAAACATCCAGCAGGTGCAGGAAAAGATTGAGAAGATGACTTGTTATGGATCAACCTGCTCAAAATCAGAATCAGAACAAAGCAGAAGGGGGAACATCCTGATAGAAACATCCAGGGAAGAAATTTTTGTTTTTAAGGTGCAGTCCTGATTATCTGAGAAGGAAAATACAGGAATGTATGTTTGGTTGAGAAGAAGTCAAACTAAAAACTGATTATTTTATGTTTCTATGATGCTTTTTTTTTTTTTTTTAAAAATCCTTGTCTTTTTAATAAACTCTGCCTCTAATTTCTCAGAACTGAAGATGTTCCTGTTGTTGAGGCGGCCTCCTCTTCCTCCTCCTAGTGAGGATGAGGAGCAGCAGGTCAGACGGTGACGCTCAGCCTCCTCATAAAGCTCAGAGGAAGCAGCTGATAAGCAGAAGCAGCCGTCAGCCGCCTCTCTCCCAATTTCCTGCAGAACAGGAAATGAAAGGCGAGCGGCTTTGTTCTGGTTCTGATGCGGCTTTATGAGTAGATGGCAGGTGATACTGACGGCCGTCTCCTCCACCTTCAAATGGCTCCTATCAGACCAAGAGGAGGAGGAGACGTCTATCAGAGCCATGGAAGCTGCTCAGCTGACATTTAAGGAGGCATCAGCTGGTTTGACATTTAAGTTCCTAACGAGGGATTAGACAGAAAAAAAAAAACTGGTTAATGAGAACAGACCCTGAGTTTAAACTGGAGTGAGAGCCTCCATTTTCCTTCAGAACCAGCAGCTGCTCCTGCTCACACCGAGGGCCACCTGAGAAAGAACCATAAAGATGAAGATTGAGCTTCACACTGATGGAAAAATCAGTAAACATGGTTCTATTTGAGCTTCTCTTCACAGATCCAGAACACCTCCATCTCTCAGCTAGAGCTATGAGTAAAGAACAACATCCTGTTAACTGCTTGGTCTAAAGGTTCTTTGGACCAAAGAGATTAATATTCACCAATATTGAAAAATTTTTTAAATAGTTTTCAAGATTAGGAATGTCCTAATTCAATATATTGGATTATATCGGCCTGCACCGATATAATTCAATTGATCAAAATTTTTCAAAATCTCCATACAACAAAATAAGCATTAAAAGTTTGTATGATTTGTGCCGATATCGTATCAGAAATGGAAAAAGTTGTATTGAAACCTTGCAATTAAAAACAGACTAATCAAGAAGCTCTGAATAATTTTACCTTTTATCTATTAAATTAAAAGCAACTGATTTAACACAATAACTGACATATGTGTGTACCCTGGTATACCAAATTGAGCTGTAAGGAATTTAAGGTGGAATTACCTTCTTCAGATGTAATTAAGGTGGAATTTCCCCCTGCTTAGATGTAACAGGTTAAAGGTAAACATTTTTCCTCCAGATATAAAAGAAAAGTGCATCTTGCACTACTCACTTTGACTGATTATTGATTTGCTCTGCCAACTGTTAATTCACACTACCAATTGTTTACATTTACATTTGCAATAACGTACATTAACTGTAATATGCAATTACCTTCCACTGCTCTTTAATTTAGATAGCTTCTGTCCAAACATTATTTATAAATTTTATAGTAAAACCCATCTGTATATATGTTATTGTACATAACTGTAAAAACCCTTTTTATAGTAATATCCACCTGTATATTATATTTAATACATATCTAGCTGCAAATTTAGTTCATAAATTATGTTATTTATAATGGTATTCATCTCTATACTCATTCAGTAGAAACCCATGTCCTGTATTTATGGAACCATTATTTATCCTGCACTTGCTGCTATTGCACTTCTGGTTAGACCTGAACTGCATTACGTTGCCTTGTACCTGTACCTGTGTAATGACAATAAAGTTGAATCTAATCTACTCCAATCTAAAAAGGTTTGGATTTAATGTAGAGCTTAAAGGGAGAAATCATAATTGGATATAACGAGTTTAAAGTGGACTTTTTATTTTTAAATCTTGATATAATGTGGAGTTTAATTCGATACATTTAAACTTAACAAATTTAATGTGGATGTTTTTATCTCCAGATATATTGTAGGTAAAGTTAAATAAAGATACAGTATTTAAATGTAACCCTTAAGGTTGAACTTCCACATGTTTAGATGTAAAAAGCAGTCCTGTAGTATTTGAGACAAGGCTCTGTCTTGTTCTTAACATATTTATTTAAACTCATTTGAGATGTGTGACATTTATTTTCTCAATAAGGAGCAGTGTTGCGCCGATGTAGTTTTTTGGTCCCGATACCTGGCTGTGCAGTATTGGCTGATTCTGATACCATCGGTTTGAAATTGATGTGTGTGTATATATGAAGATCTGCATACTACTTAGATGTAAAATAATGGCTTTGTCAAGCTGCTGCCTACCTTTGTGAAGCAGGAAGAAGACTAATACAAAGTGAATCCAGTAGAACTTTTTATTGCCTACCTGGAATGGGTGACAATAGTTGAATAAATGTTTGGCTCTCAAAATGGTATCAGTGCCCTTTTTGTTGGTACTCGACGACACCGATACCAACATTTTAGTGCTGGATCGGGGCCCGTCCCGTTACTGGTATTGGTGCAACACTAATAAGGAGCATAATTGCTATATCCTTGTTTTAATGCAGCTTCTACATTCAGGTGTAACCAATAAAATCTCTAATGCTTTTGGTTGATATTTTAAGCTGTGATTCAAACTTTAAAAGAGGGATTAAAAAACAAGCAGAGGAATAATTAAAGGTAAATAAATGTAGTTTGCAGAAATAAAAAGCGTCGAGTGAACTTTGTCCTCCTTCTCCAAATGACTGTTAAATCCCTTAGCATCAGATTAAATGGACCAAAGGCGGATGGTTGTAAACCCTCTGAGGCAGAATGGGTCTCCTTAAACACAGCATTAGTTTCACCAAAATACACTAGAATAACATGAAGCTGAAATGTGTTGAAAAGCTTTTAGCTTCAGTCATCTTTGGTAGCTTTATTAAGAGAGACATATGTGATGAAGCTGTTAATATGAGACCAAAAAGGGCATTGGCAGCTTTTTTAATGAAGGAAGGTAATACACTTCAATTTGGGACAGGCTGAGCGGTTTCAGCAAGTCACTTTGGGCTTTTACACTTTAAAGATGAAAAAAACAAAAGAGAAACAAATGGAAAAAAAAAATAAAAATCAGCTGATGCGTCGATAATAGAAATACTGATTAGTTGCTGTTTGCAAGACGAATATATTCTCCGGCAGTGTCAGATCAGCAGGCGAGTTCTGACTCAGGAAACACGCGTGTGGCACATATGTGAGAGTCCAGGTGAGTCCCCACCTGCTCCTGTCTGTCCTGCAGGTCAGGATCTTAGAAAACATCAGGAGCAGAGAGACCATACAAGAAGTTAGAAAAATAAGGTTCTTAATAATCTGCGATCCTTTGTACATCCTTCTCCATCCACCTTGGAGCTACACAGCGCCCCCTGCTGACCTACAGTCAGTCTATGCGTTAACTACGAAGTGAAGACCCCTCTGGAGCTGTTCTGGGGTCTGTTTTCCCGGTAGTGTCCGTTAGAACTGACGTCCTGCTGCTGAACGGGCCGTGAAGCGGATCCGCAATCTGAGTTGTGTGAAACTCGGCGCTCTGTGTCGAAGCCCAGGATGGTGCTGATGGAGTGAGGAAGGTCCTGCGGAGAAGATCAGAATCAGAACCAGGTCCTGGTTAGCAGCAACTCTTAACATCAGTTCTTAGCTGAACCTTCTGAGTCTCCAACATAGATCTGCATATCTGAGCCATGGTATCCATGGCAGCCATAATCCAACCTGTAACCTGCCTATCTGGGCCATGATACCATGGTAACCAACATTCAATCTGCCTATCTGGGCCATGATACCATGGTAACCAACATTCAATCTGCCTATCTGGGCCATGATATCCATGGTAACAATCATTCAATCTGCCTATCTGGGCAATTAAACCATGGTAACTAACATTTAATCTGCCTATTTGAGCCATGGGATCCATGGTAACAAACATCCAATCTGCCCGTTTGGGCCATTGTATCATTGTAACCAACCAGGTTCCCAGAGAGTCCCTGAGAACTGAATCCCCACCTTGCAGCTGCGGATCTGATGGTAGATGCCTTCAGCTTTCTGCAGGATCTCTTCAATGTTGAGCTTCATGGAGAGCTCGTTGATGTGCTGAAACATGAGGAAAAGAATCGTTTAGCTGATTCAGTTTCAGCTCCTGCTTGTTGGGTCTTCACATGAATTGTATTGTGCTCAAGCTTTACTTTTGTATGATTTAGGGATAAGGATCACTGGCTAACGCTAACTGGCTGTTTCTAAATAACTAAAGCTAATGTGCTGCAGCTGACTTGGTGCACCTGATATGCTGAAGCTAACTGGCTGATCCTGTTTTACCTTCAGAATCTCATTGAAGCCGTAGTTTTCCTCCATGATCTTCTGCTTCTCAGAGTCCAGGATGGCGCAGCAGACCAGCAGATGGAAGTTCTGACAGGGCAGCCCGGTCCACATGACCTGAGGGGAGATGGACATGTTGTCACTAGGAACCAGATATGGCAAAGATTAGGATCTAGACTATTGGAACGGGATGGGATGTTTGGGATGAGATTTATGGGTTATCTTTTCTGCACAGGTCCAATCTAGCTTTTTATCTCAAACTGCTTGCTGAGGTAAAGACATACCTTCCAGCTGATGTTTCTGATCAGGTCATTTAAGTGTTAAACAGGTTTAACTTATTTAAAGAGACAGAGCCTTTGCTGCTGCAGGTCCTTCACTCCTTGACTTTAACTCTTAACATTAGATCTGAAAAAACTGAGCACTTTAGATCACTTTTAAAGACTCACTTTCAGACCATTTATGTGCCATGATGACCAAAATGTTCAGTTTTATTTATTTTCTGTTTTATATATTTGCTCCTTTTTCTCCTGGCTGTTTTGTCAGTTTTAGCTGCTGATTTTGAGTCTTTTTCCTCTTTTTCTGTTCATGTTTTTGATCATTCTGATTAAAATAAAGACAAAATAAAGTTACATCAAGAAAAAAAAGGCTTATATCTTAACATTTTCAGTGTGGATGGTTTCCATGGTGACCATGTAAGCAGAGGATCATCAGGTAGAAGTGGAAATATGAAGTATGTCACCAGCATCTAAACAAAGTCATTGGTTCTGAAGTCTGCAGGACTTTGATCCTCTGCAGGCTTCAGGGACCTGCTAGAAGAACCTTTAGAAGATCCAATCTCCAAACTGACCTCCCAGAGCCGCAGGACGTCGTGGAAGCTCAGCTCCCTCTTAAAGCGGATCAGCAGCCAGCGGAAGCAGAAGTAGAGGTAGCCGGAGTCCTGGGACTCTGAGGGACACAGAAACATGGCATCAGCGATGGATCCACGGGAATGTGAGCAGAGTGAGATCCAGAGAATGCTCTGTACCGAGGTAGTTCCAGAACGCCAGGTCCAGCAGTCTGAGCAGCGTGCTGAGCTGGATCAGCTGTGTCTTCATACCCTGCATCTGCTCCTCAAAGTTCTGATGCTGCAATACAAACAAACCCAACCTGCATGATTTAACGGCTCAGCCGTCTCCTTTAAATAGAACAGAATTCTTCATACAGACCCGTTTCAGGCAGATTGGTCGTCTCTAACAGAAACATGAGCTAAACCTCAGAATCAGAACCCAGATTCTGTTCTACTGGTTTGGTTCCAGAACTCCGGAATAAACTGAGATAGACAGATGGAGTTCTGACCTGAACTGGGTTTGAAAGTTCTGATGTAACCATTGAAACAGCAGGAAGTGAAGTTCTTCTGACCTCCTGAACCAATTGGCTCCTGAGCTGAAACCAGTGACTTCACATGGATGGTTCTGGTTCTGACTTGGTTTCTTACCATCTGGTCCATAAAGGAGACGAAACACCAGAAAGCGTCAACTTCGTTCTCCATAACGTAAAGGATCGGTGACAGCAGGTCGCTCATCCCCTGAACGTACCCTGGAGGAACATGGAGGGTCGGTGAGTGACAGAACCTCTGGAGTCCAGCAGGGGGCGACCCGGTTCTGACGGCCCAGAGCGATCAGAGGCATCATGATGCTGTATGATTGATGTGATGAAGATCTCACCCAGATCGAAGTCGTACATGCAGTAGGTCATCAGGATGTCGTGCAGCAGAGTCAGGGTGGGGTTGTTCGGACCTTCGTAGAACCGGTTCGTTCGGTCCGTTCGGTTCACGTCTTTCTCTGCAGCAGAACAGAACAAACATATTGAACCTTCTCTGACCTCCATGACATCCTGTATGTACAGCGCTTCCAAAACGCTCCAACCTGCTGGAACTGGAATGAGCTGAGATGGACCGGTACATCGGCCGGCCGATATTTTAGGCAGACGTTAATGTTTTATCGAATTCTATGCGCTTCTGTTCACTGATTTACCACTAAAATAACTTCTGTGTTACATAAAGTAAAAGATTCATTGAATAATAAGACATTATATCTATAATAAAACACTTTGATCGTTCCATTTCTGACTTACTGCATAGAAATATAGGAAAAGACTTAACACCAGTTTTCTTTTTACAAAAAAATCGCAAAAAGAAATGTAAGTGGAAATCGATCAAGAAAACCATCAAATGAGGACAGTTATGAAAAATTCCTAATTTAGCTTATTACAGTATTTAGAAACTGAACTACGAAGCTCATACATCATGTTTACCAAGTAATATTTAAAAGATATCTGATAAAAAGTATATTTGTTATGATTTAAAAGGGTGTGAAATAATTGTAAAACCAACATTTAGAACCGAAGTACTGAAGCGTTTCTGTTTGTGGGAAAATGGAGAAACTAAAAAAGCTAAATTGATTAATGTTTTCAAAAAATAGACATAAGACACAATGTTAATAAAAAATAACAAACCGACTTAAACTTTGTGCTGAATGATGATATTTATAAACAAAACGAAGGCTTTAATCCAAGAAATGTCCATAAAGCTACTTGTAAATAAACTGCTGGTTGGCTGAGTTAGTTTCAGTGTTTATTAGTTTAATATTTATAATTGGCTTAACTATTTGTGTTGATATTACTGTGTAAGAACAAAACAAATAAAAATAAAATAAAAAACTGAACTCAGCAGCCAGACACATCCATCCATCCATTTGCTCTCCGTTATTAATGTTTTTTTCATTAAATAAAAAACATGTAACATTTCTTATCATTATGTCATTATTTTCATGCAAATGAAGAGAAAGAAAAATATCAGCCTAAATTATTGATTAAAAAATACCTGCAGCCACATCAGGGATCGGTTAGACTTTGCAGAATAATCGGCATCTGTGTCAGCCTTAAAAACCTCTATCAGTCAATCTGTAAATTGAAGTTTGCTTATTACTATGTTGCTGGAAAACAGAGGAGTTCAACTCGTCTGAGGTTTATGGGCCCAGAATTATTCTAATCATTTCAACAGTAAACTGGAGGCTTATTTGGTGGTAAAACTGGACCATTTTCTCTTAAAACATTGGAGACGTTCATCCTGGTCCTATGATGGTAAAAATGTGGTCTCATCCCGTCTGCCATCCACAATAATCAGACATATTTAACTGCTGAAAGAGGCAGGACCACGGCTTCAGATAAAGATTTGATCATCATCATAATCATTAGGCGTCTCTAGAAGCGCCGTGATTCTGCAGATTTAAAATGTTCAAAGAAGGATTCTGCTGATGAAACCTGGAGGCTCCTCCTTTTCCTCACCGATCAGACTCCTGTTGTCTCTCAGTCTGGAGTTCCTCCTCTCCTGCTCCTCACTGATGGATTTCCACTGCAGCTTCATCCGGAAGTATTCATCCCTGTTGAGACACACAGAGTCACCGTCACCATGGAAACCTCAATACATCCCTTAGTTTACCTGTTAATCCCTGACCCGATTCGTTTTCGGATCAGTGACGTTAACAGGTTCGGCTCTAAACGAGCTGCCTGGTTAAAAACATCCTGAGTTTTCCGTCTGCGGCCTCCTGGGCTCGTGACTCCAGGTTAGTTGTTGAATGAACCATTTTTTTTATAATTTTTTTACATTAAAGGATTTGATTCTCTTTTAGAGTCTAGCTGTAGGGTTTAGATCAGTGGCGGCAGGTGGAGCTTTCTCCAGGGGGCTATAAATTCAAAATAGACGTATTAAGTATCAACGTATCAAGACGTACCAAAAACCAAGTATATTTATATATAAATGCCAACAGCAAAAAACAATATAATAAAAACAATTTATAAAAAAAAAAACTAATTTAATGTACATGTTTACTTTTAAAATAATAAATATTGCCCTTCTGAGGCTTTGTGAATGTAAATTTGTGTTTTGCATGGTCCAATATGATGTTAAAAACCTAAAAAAAGTAATGTACCAGTTTAATTATGGAGAAGCTATTAGTCAGCTTTATATTTTTTTAATATATAAAAACTATTTATTTACTGAGAATGTTTTTATTTAAGAGAAACTATGCAAATTAACAAACATCTAGAAAAAGTACACTTTATTGTATGTTAATTCTCTAAAATTAGTTACCTCTTAACTCTCTAAAGAATGCTAAAACACATCTTTAAAAAATGTTTTATGACTTTTGTGAGACAATTTTGATGCTTTTTACATTTCTTTGTTAAACTGCTTCTCTTATCACGGCATATGCTCAGAGCAGTCTGACAAAATATGATTAAACCATGTTTATCTGCATTTTAGTTGTTTTTTTCTTTAGATCACACACATTATACCATAATGTTAACACGAAAGGAAAACATAAAACTCAAATAGACTAAATTTATGTTTAAATCCAAAGCCGAAAACGTTGGCTCCTGGAAGTAGCGTAGGATCCAATTTCCGATGCAGATCCGGCAGAGACGAGTGATAAAACAGAAAGGATTTTAAGGCGTTTATTTTCTCAGGAAATACTTTATTAACCTGTTACACATTATATTGTAGAACGTTTAATATTTTTGGGGAGGGAAAACGTCATTTAGGTATTTTAAAAAAAATAAAATCGAGGACGACCCGGATGTATATCTGGATGCGTATATGAGCTGATGGCGCATGTGCAGAACGGATCGGGTAGTACTAGCGCGCAAATACACTTCCTGTCGCTTCAGGCCGCTGCTTAGTTGCGTCCTTTGCAGAGATTAAACATGTATCTTGCACATCTCAAAAACATATATCAATATATTTTGAAATATTTCAAATTTCAATTTAAAATTAAATGATAAATATTTTTTTTATGTCTTAATCAGGGTCATTGGGTGGGTGGGGCGGTGCCCTAGCGCCCTCTATTAGGCAGCCGCCACTGGTGTAGATCTAAAGTGGGAACTGATGCTTATGTCGTAGAAACGAATGCAGCTGAATGCGGAGTCCCCTTAAAGACAGGAAGACAAAGATGTTTGTGGGTTCGTACGTTTTGGCCCTCTGCAGAGCCTTCCTCTCCTCCAAGGTGCTGCTCCACGGATAATATCCCAGCAGGAACTTCCAGGCTTCTTTCCTGATAGCGTGACACAGACCCTGCAGGCAACAGACAGAACCGGGTCATCTGGTCTGATCATGAGGTCACATGACTGACAGGGAGCTCCTTCGGTACAACATGTTAAAACTTGATTATAAGAAAATTTAAGCTTCATTTTAAAGCTGCAGGTTCTTGTATGGGCATGGTGCATTATGGGTAAAGTAGTTATTTATGAATATAAGCTGCTACATGTTCCTACAGACAAACCATGAAAGACTTACTAAAGGTAACAGAAGCCATTTTTGAGTCACTATCTAGATTTTATGTCACTTTGGTATGTTGTTTCCTGTTTCACCTGTCTGCCTGCAGCCTCAATAAAAACATGAGGGTTTAAAAGCCTGATTCGGCCTGGATGCAACACATCCAGGAAGGACAGAAACAGGCGGCAGACATGGAGGAGTTCTTTTCACCATGTCTGTAAGGAATCCTGCTCACTGAGAGAAGGAGCTGATTTCTGTGTTGGTTTACTGAGACTTGCCCCTTTAAAGATCCTCTGTCTGAGTGTGGCCTCATCCTCCATCCTGCCCTCGGGATCCTGGTGTTTACTCCATTCGTCTGCGGACAGCGGCTCCGCCCGGGTCACCTGAGGCCTCACCCCGAGGTCGATCTGTCACATTGGAGGTAATGATGTCAGAACTTCAGTTCAGTGTATTTAAAGTCACATGTTCAATCAGATCATTCAGACATACTGGTTAAAAGTAGAGATTAAAAAAGATAAATAACTTATGATTTAAATTCATTCCATCTAATTAAATGAAAACGTCTGTTATAATGTTACTGCTACTGCTTACTTCCCCTGTTTAATGAACTTTCTGTGGTTCTGTTAAGCCGGGCATACACTGTACGATTTTTTGCCCTTTTCAGGCCGATTTTCCAGCTGTGCGAGAATTTTTCCGACTTTCAGCCTGATCGTGCGTCGTGAACAGGGGGTAACAAGGGGCGATCAGCCTCTCAAGACCACCTCCCCATAAGGAATCATGAGGTCGGGAGAAAATCAAGCGTTTTTGAAATTTATGGAATGCGTGGAGTATCATAGCGCAGACCACACTTCAAAACTGGGCATAAATCAAAATTATCTGCGGCTCATTGCTGTGAGAGTACAACCAGCCTTTAGCCTCTCAAATGCCACTGTTTTAAAGCGTTTACATAGGATAACTCAGAATCCATTAAATTACACTGGTAAAATGTTTACCAATAGACATGTTAGACATCGTTGGAAAGCTTAGATTCTCCACAATTCAACCACCTAGTTCATTTTATGGACATAGCAAGCATAAAGCACAATTAAAGCAGCATGTCGAAATGTAAATGACAAAGCAGCCACAACAAGCAAGCATGTCTTTATTACTGCTGTTCAAAAAAGACTTATTATTTTCGAGAATAAAAAAAACTAACTTTGAGTCATGTTTGAACTGATGCAGCTTGGGTGTTTTACTCACCCAATTTTCATGTATATATTCAGAAACTAAAAGGTGTTAAGCTTTCAAAAGATGTATCACACATGTAATTTGGGCTTACAGTTGCTAAGTTATTTGCTTTTCCTTTTGGGTATGCAAAATAGGCGAATTTCCCAGAAATGAGGTGGATATTAGGAGGTTAAAGCAGTTGGACGGATTTTAGCGCGATTGCTTCCCTGACTCTTGATTGGCTGAAAGGGATCATGTCTGAACCTGATGTTCCAGCTGCTCACCCTGGTGATGACCTCGAAGCCCGGCTCCTCCTGCTGGTTGATCTCCAGACCTGGAATGACTTCACCCAGAAGGTCTGCCACCTCCTCAGGGGGGCGCTGCTGCTGCTCCTCTGTCCCCCTTAGAGCATCGTAGATGTAGTTGGTGACTTTGGAGAAGCTGCCCAGCGTCGTCACATACGGGTCCCGCTTAAACTTCTGCAGGAGGAAAACCTCAGATTAACGAGATGCTGATCAGAGCCATCAGTCAGACTATGGAGGGTGTGTGAGTGTTTATGTTCCTACATGAATGAGGCCGAAGCTGTTGTCGTCCATCAGGTTCTCGAAGGACTGGGACAGAGCTTTGTTTGGGGTGCTGACCAGTAGACACGATTCATCCTCAGGACACCTGGAACACACAGACCCTCAGTCAGCTCGGCGTGTGCGTAAGCAGAACGTCCCTCTGCAACAGATCTGGACTCAAACATCCGGCACCGACGCAGCCTTTCACTGAGACGCAGATAAGAACTTTAATAAGACTTATCAGCCTCATCAGCAGCAGAGAGCCTCAACACCTAATCTGACTTCATCTCAGCCTCACAACATTTTATCGTTGTAGAAATTAATATTGAAATGATACGTCTCTGCAGACGGTCTGTCTGCTTATGGAAATAAATCAAACAAAAAGAGACTCACTATTCTGCAGCAGATTTCCATCTTAACATTCCTTACTTTTCCAAACATTTCTGTCTTTGCAGCGTATTTCTTCTCTGAGGAGCCGAGTTTCTGAAGAACCAGTCAGACAGACAGTCAGAAAGGACCTGACCATCATTTATTTATCCAGGACTGAGACCTTCCACACCTTCTCCAGCATCGTCTGTCGCTGCCAAACCTGTCGTTGGCACCACTACTACTTCAACCACGTCAGCCTCTTCAACCCAGTGGGCTACCGCCCTTACAGCATCGTCATCATCGCACTGTTCCTCCCCTGAGCCAGAAGAGGCGAGTGCTTCAGGAGCTGGAGGCAGTAGTAGTAGCTCAACAAGAACTGATGGTGAAGCCCAGGCAACAGGCCCTTAATGCTCCAGCATCAGATCCTCTTTTACCACAGTAAAAATCCCATATTGGATGCTTAGATCCTATCCAGATCCGTCTGACATCACTGCTGCCAAGCAAACATATAGTGACTTAATATCAGTGTTTTTTTGTTGTTTGTTTTTTTAATCGCTGCTGCTTGCCTTATCAAGGCTGCACTTTAAAGAATAAGATGGTCTAGAGAGCCGTCCTGAACTAAAATATCAGCCGTCTGATGTATCGGTCAATCTCTGCCAGGAAGTCCCTGAATTATTCATCTTCACCACATTCTGTTTCAGTGTGACGCTGATAAAAAAAAACAAAAAAAAAAACTGTACATTATAACTAAAAATGTTAAAAATAACTTTTATCAGCTCCGAAATGGTTGGGATAATAATTTTCCCCCCAATGTTTTTCTTGCTAAACTCAAACTATTAAATAATCATCTTAAATATTTATAACCTGACAGACCGAAGTAACATGTTTTTATTCCAGTCAAAAATCTTTTCTTTTCTCCTCTGTGAAGAGTAGAGACCCATTAATCCAGATTTTTTCAATCTAATCTAATAACCTGGACTGAGCGGGCCGATACCGACCCAACATTACTGTTTAATGAATGATCAGGCTTGACATGTTGAAAATCGCTAGTTAAAAATCAGAAAGAATGAACACGGATATAAATCCTTAGAAGCTGCAGTGCTGCTCTGTGTAATGATGTAACCAGCACTGCAAACATAGAATAGAAGTGACTAGATAACTTTAACTGAGTGTTTTTACCAGGTTTGATATCAATAAACAATGAAATATCTGGATGGGCGTCCTTGAACTGATTCAGCTAATTAGTCAACATCAGAGCTGATATCTGATCCCGGTATCAGGTGGTTGCGGCTCTAGTGAAAGGTTCTTCTTTTTCTGTATATATTGAAACTGTTCATAGTATTTCTATTTTAGAAAACATATTTATTGTGCAGGAATAAGGTCTTAGCTCTTTTACACTGGTAGCCAAGTTATCGACATTTCGTTGTCAAGATTCAGCTTGTGTTTTTTTGTGCAATGACAATAAAGGAAGTCTAAGTCTAATAATCCAGCAGCTTTTTAAAATTATTCCTGTCATTCTGTTTGTTTTTTTGGTGTTGATTGGAAACATAAAAACACAGGTTCTGCTCTGCTCTTCTGAATGATCAAAGTCTAGTTCAGGCTAAAGGGCTGGTTATACTCTGCAGCTACTCACTCTGTCAGCAGAGCGAACCTCCTCAGGCTGTCCAGGAACTCTCTGCTGCCGCCCTGGTGGAAGTGAAGCGCCGGCAGCAAGCTGGAGGAGTCCTTCAACTGGAGGATGAGGAAGGTCCAACCTTCCTCCTTCACCTTAATGGAGCCGAGGTCGCTGATGTTCACAGTGAAAGCCCAGCGGCTCCGCTCGTTGCTGTGATTCAGAGAGCCTGAAAGACAAAACGCAGGGCTCAGTAAACACCCGGCAGAAGGGCTGCTTTTAAAGACTCCAACATAGACAGTTCCTACTCCTTGACAGAAACTCCTCCATCAGTCATGTGTAGACCCACCCTCTCCATTGGTGTAATTCCTCTTCCTGAAGGACACGGCGTTCACCATGTCCCACTCCGTCTCATAGCTCTGCTGCGTCTCCAGCTGCTGCCGGGACTGGGACTTCTCCCTGGGACACTGGGCCCACTCCACCACCGAACTGGAGTCCTGAGGAGAAACAAGACTACAGATCATGACGTCATTAAAGGGGATTAAGCTAAGGTGAGGTCACAGAGGAAGCAGGGACAAACCTGTCCAGCACACAACATATTGGACGGGTCAACGCTGTCCTCCAGAGGCCGGTATTCGACCAGGATCTCTGCATCCTGCAGGTAGATAAGCAGACTGATCAGCAGGCCGCCAAACACAAAACGTTCTCATCTTTTTCTAAACGCATCACCGCGGTGACAAAAAGGCAATGCAAATACAAAATGCGGAGAAAAAAAGCTACAAAAACAAACACATTAAATACATGCAACAAGAAATAAGTTGCAAAGAAGATATGCTGCATCTTCAGCTAATAGAGAGCAGCAAAATACAACACACTGCAAAAATGATTCAAAAACACAAAGCGGATCCAAAAGAAAAATGCTGCAAGGAGCAAAGACAAGACGTAAGGCTGGAAAATAGTTTAATATTAATAAATAAGGAATTACATTCTATTCACTAACAGTAATATGACTTAAACACATTTCATTATACGTCTATGATTGTAATATACGTCACTGACGTTCTGGTTTTTAAGCGTTCAAAAAAAGCTAATATTTCTAAAATGTTACATGAGAAGTTTTATAAAATTAGTAGAATAACTGTCAGGCTTCTGTTCCGTCAAAGCTTTTTATTTTGTTTATATCGATAACTTATATCCTATTAACAAATATTTTGTAATATACTTTTTGGCTATAATGTCCTGCCATAGCGGAAAGGAATGGAAACAGACTATAACCATTATAAATCAAAGCCTTAATTCAATCCTCTTTGTGTTCTGGAGCTCATCTATTGTGACAATCCAAGTTGCAGGTTTACTTAATTAACTTGAAGCATTTTGCTTTGCATGTGTTTCTTTTCTGTGCTTCCATGGTCATATATTTATGGTTATCAGCTCTCTAATCAGCTATGGGAGGAACTAAATGTTTTGGCTTCATTTGAATATAT